GCTTTTATGTCTGGAAAGGCTGTACCTTCATCTGCCTCTGAGAAATTGATGGCACTTCTGTCCATAGGGGCAATGCCCAGCACATGTCTGTAATGGGCCTCTATTACCTGCGGTGGGAAAGGAATACAGCAAGGTATTAGTTCTTCCGCTCCTAACTACCCAAGAAGCTTTCTTTTCCTAGTTAGATTTCTTCTGCTTAGCAGTCCATAAAATGGAGGCTCTTCATACGTTACGGACAAAATCCCAGCCCCTTTCAAATCCTTTTTGCAGTTTTGCCATTGACATTAGCCAAAAAGGTCAAAGGTCCTGAACCTACAAATCCAGAGGACTAAAACAGTTAAGGTAGTTTCTACAGTTAATGGCCTACAATAGACTGATATGACTATCATTACATCCAGCTACTTTTAAGTCCTCAGCCTAAATAACCAAGTATCCATTTACAGTTAGGTCAACTGATGGTGACCTTTATCGCACATCAGAAAGCCTCCAGCAAGATGCCTTTCTCACTCTGCCCCTCAACTGTGCTTCTATACAGAAGTTGTCCTATGGCCTGGCTTCTATGACCTGGGTTTGGCAAACAGGTCAGTTGTTCCTCCCCCCACAACAGAGCAATCATTGGCATTTGCATATCCACATCTATCATGCATCCTTGCTAAGTTTTGAACAGCACAATCTGGCAGCTATCCTCTAATGCTCTCAGAGAAGACAGTGGGGAAAGCGGTCACGGAAACTTTCAGATTATTGTGAGAGCTCACTACCATACCCATTGCTGGGTCAGGGGACTATCCTGTCATCCCCGTTCTGTTCTTTAGATGAGTTTTTATGAGAACAGAGCAAGGAATTCAGTCCCCTTCCTCTATGAAAGGAGCGGTCATGGACACATGCCCTTGCAAATTTATTTGTTAGCTTAACACTTACACCATCAGTTACAAAAGCTTGGGGAAGAGTTTCTGCTTACCTGTACATTGCTTCAGTATCTAAGAGTGCTAATGCTCATTGGACCCTGGGGTGCTAATTTAATGGAAATAATAATCTAGGGATGAAAGGGGAATTGGGAATGATACTGCACAGGGAATTGCGTATTCTGTACTTGCCTTTTGTGGGGCATTGATGACGCCAAGGCTGTAACCGTACTGGAAGAAGCCCAGCACTGCAGTGAAGACAGAGAGAACCAAGGTTCCTGTGAGGTGCTAGGAGAGGATCAGGAAAGAGAAACCAGAGTCACTTTTCTGCTCTTCAGCACCAGCAACATTTCTGCGGCATAAACCTTGAACAGACTGGCCTAGATCCTGCTTTCACTGAAGCCGAAGGGTTTGCAGGGTATCAATGAGGGCAGAATTTGACCTGTTGTTTCAAATCAAAGCCCAGATTCTCACCCAGCTAAGAGGATGCCCACAGTACCCTTCATTTTCTTGGTCTTTCTAAGTAGCTGTAATGCAGGAGAACTGGCTGATGGAGGCATTCCTCAGCGACGGGTGATTATGCAGTGGAGAGCAGCCACTGCTGCAGGTCCGAGGCACCCCCCTTTCTGCCAGGATACCTCTAGGAGGAGGGGACTGTGTTCAGTTCAGAGGCTGATGATATCCAGCAGCCAGAATGAGCTTCGTAGCTAAGAGTAGCTTAGAGCAACCGTGAGTTGTCTTTGTCTTATGCCCACAAGTCCCAGGATCATGATGCAGACAAAGGCAGTTCAATTTGCTACCTTCATAAAATAAGAAGGGCACATGCCAGGGATGGTGTCTGGAGATGAAAGTGTGGCCAGACCCTTGTTGGAACAAGGCTGCAGAGTTTTGTCGTCGGGCGCTGCTTTATGCAGTCCTGGCATTGCTCTACGCTGTGCTAGGGGACAAACTGGCCCCAGCATTAGGGAGTGCAAAGGTTGCTCTGTATGCACCGCATATCACTAAACACCTTCTGCCCCAGTCACTGTAGTATAACACACTGGGTATAGGAAGAGGTCTTTTGTAATGTGTCCATACAGGACTTTTCCTAATCTCAGAAATTTAAACTTATTGTTAAATAAAGCTCCTCCCCTGGTCAGGTAAAAAGTCCTGCTATCTTGTTCCCTGGTGCTTTTTCACCCTTGTCTGCCAGGGTCCCCCTTACAACTCAGAGGACCCAGTCTGCTGGGGAGGGGAGGCAGCTCAAGGAGGGAATCATATTATCATAGAAACAGAAAATTAGAGTTGGAAGGGACCTTAGGAGGTCACCTAGTCCAACCCCCTGCTCAAAGCAGGACCATCCCCAACTAGATCATCCCAGCCTTGGCTTTGTCTACCTGGCTCTTAAAAACCTCCAAGGATGGAGCTTCCACCAGCTCTCTGGGTAACCTGTGCCAGTGTTTTACTACCCTCCTAATGAGAATTTTTCCCCTAATATCCAGCCTAAACTTCCCTTGCTGCAACCTGAGACCATTGCTCCTTGTAAGCAATCATCTTCCAATCCAATCCCACTGCCATGAGGGAGAACCATGAGTAGCTAGCTAGCCACACTGTCTCCCTGGCCCTTTCTGACTGGAGGAGTGACCTGATTTGTGAATCGCTGATTTGGAGTCCCACAGAGGAGTTTTCATCATTTTTTTGCAGAAGACTGATCTACCTGTCAGCAACCAAGAAAGGTCCTGCATTGACCAAGGCGACTCTGCTGACTCAGCAGTCATTTCGAACAGGCAGCTTTCACCAAAGATCACGTATTGTGCTGCTTTTACAAAATTCACTGGCCAGAACTAGCACCATGGCAAGTAGAGCTTCCAGGGGCTACATTTACAGGGAATCATCTTGGTGCTTCTCCCAACAGATGAGACCTCTCAGTCTGGTTTGAGCCTACTCCCACTCATAAGAGTAGCAACTTTACCATTCGCAACAAGCAGAACAGGGGCTATGAAAGGTGCCATTCATAGCAATGCTTGAGCTTCGTCTCACTCCAAAAGAAAATGGAAAATGCTGCAGTCTGGGGAACAGGAACCCACAGTGAATACTTATTTGTCTCTGGTATTGTCATGTGAGCAGACCCTAGGAGTTACTGAGCACCACCAACTACCATTAAAATCAGTGTGCAGGGGACATAGCACCATGCCGGATGGACTGCTACCAGCAGTAGTTCTCCATGGGGATCCTACGAGCTACTGAGTGCCTCTGGGGAGGGGCTGAGCACATTCAATGCCCTTTAAATTCATTGAGATTTGAGGGCAAATGCGCATACATCAAACCTAGCAGGATCGGGCCCCAAAACAGAAAGTGACATTAGGTGCATAAAGCAATTAGACAGGTATCCAGGTTGTGCAGGTTGCGATTTGCACTTTTCATTACACCCTTACTGTGAAGAGAGATTGGTCACAGACAGGCAGATTTATATTCAAAAACGAATTCCCCTGCACTCCTAAACAAATTATTCTAAAAAGAACAGTAATCCATGTGTCCTCCTTAAGAAATATGCTTAAAATTGTAAAAAAAAGTAAATACACAACATTGCAGGCTCAGTTTCACAGGTTTAACTCAGGATGAAAGCCCACTGAAATCAGCTGCAAAATCAATTGGGTAAAAACTGACTGTCGAGCTACGTTTAGCTGTTTTCTCTGTTACTGTATTGCATTTCCATTGCTTCTATCACGCTTTAAAACATTTTAGATAGACTGAAAACCCCTTCAAAACTGTATTTCTAAGCAGATAACAAGCTCAGCCTTTTTTTCCCCCTTGTTCTGGACAGTCAATAACTCGACCCTCCTGATACCTGGTATGTGTTCCCCATAAGGCAGCCCAGGACTGACTCTACAGTAAAATATCACTAAATCGGATTTACCTTATCTTGCATTTTACTTGTCTTGTCCATTCTTTTGGTCTTCAAAGGGATTCTGCAGGTGCAACCCCTCCTTTTGGGCTTATGAAACTTTCCTAAACCTTAGGACAAGGTTTATATCCTCTGTTTAAGAGGAGGGGCAGATGAAAGGAGATACAGGAAGGAGGGATAGGAGGAAAAAATCTTGCCGGTCAGGAAGATGGGATTCAATATGAATGTTAATGAAAAACCCAACAGTATTACTACGTGTTGCTTTAACACTGTTTAACTCAGCAAAGGATAAAGAGATTTGTTATGCTGGGAAACAAATCGACAAACAAGACGCACATTGAGAAGATGATATTGTGAATGTAAAACACCTTGTAGAGAAAGCACAGTGTCTTCAACTTGCTCTCAGCTCAGCTCCATAAGCAGAGTACTTATATGAGAGAACTTCTCCAGTAATAAGAAAGCAGATTGTGCTGTGTGCCAGCAAAGCATAGGGCTTATGATATAGTTATATATTTATAGCAGGTGCTGCTGGGTTCTAGGAAGCTCTGATATGTTCACAATCTCACTTGGCTGTTGTGGAGGATTTTTTTTTTGGCTGATAAATTATAAAGTCCCTTTTTGCCCGTTACCAAATTTCAGTTGGGAGATTGGAATGAAAATGTAACGTGCGTAATAGAAGGGTCACGCAAGGAATGGGGAGGTGCCTGTAATTAGCTGTTAATTAGCAAAACGCCTGCTATTATTTACACACCCGTATACATATACAGAGATCTCTCCATCTCTCTCTCTGTACACACAAATACCAATATATATATGCATATGTGTGTATATGTTTGTGAACATATACATGAACCAAGAACAAGAGATCTATCTACCTATCTCTTACTCATATGCAGAACTACATGTATTTACTAAGATTTACTGTAAGTCATTGATACATGTATTGCCTAGGAACGTAGAAAGTGATCTCTATGAGTGTACACAAAAATCCCATGCATCTAGCTATATATTCATAATTTACATATATTTTCACGTATTACACATGTTGTACAAAAGTCGCCTTAATCATTTTAAAAAAAAATCAGTTTTCATTTTAAAAAGTGTTATCCCTGGCCTTTCAGTAACAGTTCAGTGCTTGTTTCCTTCTTTACTGGCATTATTAACCTTTGGCTCAGGTGATTAGACACTAATCATGAGCTTTGTCCTTGTAGGTCACTGGCGCGATTCTGGTCTGGGCCGGTAGCAGGTGATGGGGGATGCATAAGCAAAACCTGCGTTCGCAATCTTTGGCTTAGAAACTGGTGATATCATCGTTAAAAGACCATTGCAATAACTGAAACCAACCCCAATGGCATCCACAGCAGGGGGGCAAAGGCTGAGGGACTAAGAGTGAATAATTGTTTTGCACTCAGAGAGGGTCTGGAGGTGAGACCTGAGGAATTTCACACGATGGAAACTCAGGCCCTACCTGCTCAGTGGAGAGAAGAGCTGCTATCAATCAGGCATCTTTCACAGGGGTCTAAAAGGTGCTTTGCAAAGAAGAAAGGGGAAAGAAAAAAAAGACCACTAATCTTTGCACTGGCTACAAGTAAAACTTTAACTTGAGGAGAAATGTTCAGGCCATTAATCTATTCCAGTTGATTGCTAAGATCTCTGGGGTTTTGCCACAGGGACGGTATGTACTGAAGAGCAGATGTATTTGACAGGGAGCTGGAGGCTAGGCTCAGCCTTTTGAAGCCTTCCTCAGAATTTTAGCTTTTGTATGTCGTCTCCATTGTATTTGTCCATTCTTCCCTCTGCATGTGTGGACAGTGTGTGTTTGACAAACACCCTTTCTTTGCATTTTGTACTCAGGGCCGACAAAGTACCTACCTGAAAGCTGGTTATCAGGATACAGGAATTAACAGGTTTACAAGATTAGCTTCAAATGCACTTCATTGGAGATTAGAGACAGGCCCAAACCAATATGCACCTTTGAACTGCATGACACTGGAGGTGCAGAACCACTTGTTGAGATTCATTTTTCTCCCTCTGCAGCAAGGTTAGGCAATGTTTTTTGGCCGGAGTGCCGGAAAAAACCCAATGTCTATGCTGGAAGGTGCCGGAGTGCCGACATGTCAGACCCTGGAGCAGCTGTTTGCAGCCTCCCAGCTGCAGCCGGCCCACGGAGCCCGGTCCGCTTGCAGCAGGGTTTGCAGCCTCCCAGCTGCCTGCTGGGAGCAGTCTGGGCTCCGTGGCTGGCAGCATCTGCTTGAAGCCTGGGCTGGCAGTGGTGTGCCGAGCAAAATGGCCTTGTGCGCCATGTTCAGCACGCGTGCCGGGGGTTGCTGACCCCTGCTCTGCAGCTTATGCCTCTCATTCAGCCATGTTTCTCTTTAGGATTGGGTTGCCTAATTCTTTGGTTGTCAATACATGTGAAAGACGCAGGGTAGGGCCTAGGGTGAGACATAAACCATGGCAGACTCGTGAGAGCTTGCATTGGTTAGCACGTTGCAGGATTAGGGAAGTTTCATGCCTTGGTCAGTTTTTTATGGTAATTTTTTCTGTAGCATTGTATAAAAAGAGCGCAGCAACTACTTAGGTGTAGCTGTGCTCCTAGACTCATTTTAGAGCATGGCAACACACACAGGTCACCCGGAGGTAAACCAAGGTGGGAGTTTATACAGTGCTGTAGCAAGGGGGGGCAAGTGGGGTGACCATCGTGGGCGCCAACAGGCGCTGCCCAGCCAGGGCATGGGATGGGGCCACGAACCTCTCGTTTGGGGTGGGGGCAGCTCCCACCGCTGCGTGCATTCCTGGCCGAGCATGTGGAGGCCTGTGCCTCCTGGATCTGTGCACGAGGCAAGGGTGGGCTGCCTCTTCAGGCTTGCCCCGGGTGCCAAACTTCCTTGCTGTGGCACTGAGTTTATGGTTCTTTGGCAACTTTGAGATAGCTGCCCTTCCCTCATGACAACGGGAGGTAGCTTACCCCACTTCCATGACTGTGAGATGAGAGCACGCATGTCAGCAGTTACCGTGGAGGAGCTAATGCACAGCAAGTAGCTTACCTCTCGATAACTTTTTTGCAGCCATGTCCTTGGATGAAAAAAAAAGGTGGAACTGTCTTCTAGGTCATCCATGTCAAGAGGAGCTCACACCCAGCTTCTGAGGTGAAGTGGGAGTATGAGACCCTGTCCAACCCCCAAAGATTTCTTGTTATATAATTTCAGAAGTTTAATTTTGAATTTAAGCAAAACCACCTTAAAATCAGTTTAAGAAGGACCACACTGTGCACAAACAGGGCTTTATGCTAATTCAACTATACAAGCTTAGAAAACTGGGAAGAGCAGCCAGCCAGGTCTAACAGCTCACGTAGGTTCCTAGCCCAAATGTAGGTCCTCCATCTAACCCAGGAGGTGCACAGCCCCACCAGGGTGGATGCCTTGCTGGACCTGGTGCTGACCACCGGTGATGACCTGGTGAGGGGGCTGCGGGTGCTCGACCACCTGGGTGACAGCGATCATCGCCTGCTGGGATTCACCATCCAGTGCAAGGTGGCAAAGGCCTGCAGCAAGGCAGCAGCCCTAGATTTCAGGAAGGCAGACTTCAATGAGCTAAGGAGAATAGTCAGGGAAGCACTGAGGTCCCGGAGGGGAGGGGAGTTGGGAGTCCAAGGAGAGTAGTCGCTCCTTAAGGAGACAATCCTCCAAGCCCAAAGGGAGG